TTCGATCGTGTATTGCATAAGTAACGTAAGGATCCTATCATCTTCCTGTACTAAGTTGGATAAACATCTTGCTCATCCTCATTCTTCGACAACTATAGGCTCGCTTCAGCCGGAGTAATGGCAACATTACAATGCTCTATTTCAAACTTCTTTAATATCTCAAGTGCATACCTTCTTTGATGCATGAGCAATTCCCTTTAGACTTGTGGAACTTAATGCCAAGGAAGTATGTTACGAGGCCAAGGTCGATCATCTCAAATTCTTTCATCAGTTCACTCTTGAACTTAAAAATGCATTTTCCTTTCCAGCCCATTATCAACAAGTCGTCTACATATAGACAAAGGATAATCACTCATTAACTTGTATCCGTCTTCACATGCACACCATGCTCGGATACATATTTCTTGAAGCCAATCTCCTTTGTGAAACCATCAATCCTTTTGTTCCATGTTCCTAGAGCTTTCTTCAAACCGTATAACGTTTTCTTTAACTTGTAGAACTTTAGCTCTTGGTTTCTCACAACAAAAGTAGGGGGTTGTTTTACATACACCTCTTCTTCAAGCGGTCTATTCAAAAATGCATATTTGACATCTATTTGGTAAATGGGTCAATTGTTGTTATTTGCAATACCAACAAATAGCCTTATGGTTTCAATCCTACCAAACAGTGTGAATACCTTTACAAAGTCTATGCATTCTCTTCGCAAGAATCCCTTTACAACTAATCGAGCCTTACACTTGATTATTTCACCCTTAAGATTTGCCTTCACTTTGAACTCCCATCTCACATGAACTGGATTCTTCCCGTCTGGTAGATTAATTAACTCCCAAGTATTGTTCTTCTTAGTAGATTCCACATCCTCCTTCATAGCACAAATCCATTTTGAATCACTTAAAGTATGTTCAGTTTTAACGGGTTCAGATTCAACCATAAGTGAAAAATGGACGAAATCACCATCACCATTGACTTTGTTGTCTCAGAACAGCTCACCATCTTGGAGTATTTGAGGAAAATATCTTTGCCTTGTCGATCTTCTCACATTCTCTTAAATTTGGGCTTCGTTAACATGTGTTTATGCACTTCCTAGTTCTGCTGAATCTTAATTTTCAAAGTTGAAACCAATTACAGCTTATATGTAACTCGTTACAGGCTACTACATTTACTTTATCTCGTCGAAATCAACGTCTCGGTTGATCACAACTCTCTTGTTTGTTGCATCAAACAACTTGTAACCACCAGTGGAGTGATACCTTACAACTATCATCATTTCTCCCTTATCACCCAACTTCTTTCTAAGCTGCCCAAGAACATGTCGATACGCTACGAAACCAAAAATATTAAACGATTTAGATTCGGTTTAAATTTCGACCATGCTTCCTCTAGTGTTACCTTATCAAGCTTCTTTCAAGAAATAGGCAGATGTGGATACCACTTCTCCCCATAACTCTTTCAACAAGTTCTTCCCATTTAACATGCTTTTTACCATGTTTATGATCGATTGATTCTTCCTTTCAGCAACATCGTTTTGCTACAGTGTATAAGGTGGTACAACCTCATGTATTATCCTTTCTTGATCATTAAACCTCTCAAAGTCTTTTGAGACATATTCACCTCAACCATCTGTTTTGAGCACTTTAAGCTTGTGACCGCTTTTCCGCTCAACCATGAACTTGAACTTCTTAAACACTTCAAATAACTTTTTCCTTTCTCTTGATTAGGTATGTCCATAGTTTTCTACTATGATCAATGATGAGTGTGACAAAATATCTATTGCCACCAACAGAATCTACTTGCATCGGTCCATACACATCTGAATACACTACCTCAAGGTGATTCTTGATTCTACAATATGCATCCTTTATGAATTTACCCTTATGTTACTTCTCTTTCAAACATTCTTCACAAATTTCATCCAATATGTTGATCAATGGCAACCCCGTTACCATTCCGTTCATTTGCAAGTCTTTGAGATCTCAGAAATTTTGATGCTCAAGACGATAGTGTCATATCCACTCATCTCAACTTGTCGTTGTAGCAAGACATCTATACTCCATAACCTTCAGTTTTACCTTGAAGATCCTATTGGTAGTTATAGGCGCTTTAAGGACCAAAATCCTGTTTGCATCCATAACGTGCAACCCCTTATTTTCCATGTGAATATTATAACCCTTCTCAAGCAATTGACCAATACTTAGAAGGTTACATTTTATTCTTGGAATGTACAATAAATCTTTGGTCAAGGAATTTCCACCATCACTTCTCATGATCAAAACATCATTGATCCCATCGCTCGCTAGAGTGGTATCATCCGTGAGCTTCACTTTGTTCTTCATGGCACAATTAATTTTAACAAACCAATCATTCCTCCCCGGTCACATGCTTAGAAAATCCTAAGTCCAAATATCATTCCTCGATGCACTGGTTTCCTTCTCTCAAAGTTACCATAACATTTTCTTCTGCATGTAACCAGTTACTACTTTCACGCAATCGATTACAACTTGTTTTTTTTTTGCAGCATTCCTAGAATTGTTGTTGTTGTTGTTGTTATTGTCTGACAACATGTTGCTGCTGCATTCACCTTCTGTGATCATGACCAAAAGTGTATTATCCTCATCAAACTCTTGTCTTGAAACCTTAGCTTCATCTTCTTGAGTTTCCTTCTTGTTCGCATTGCACTCTTTTGCAAAATGACCAAATCTTTGACACTTAAAGCACTGCTCCTTACTTTTGTCAAACCTCTTCCATTCATCTCTAAAGTTACCTTGACCATCATTTTTGTTGTAAATGCTCTCACCCCTTTGACAAGTTGAATTCATGGAACTTTGAGACTCTCTTCCACGAAAATTTTGAAAATCCCCTTTACTCTTCATGGGCCATTTTTCTTTCAAACTCTTGTTCTTCTAGTTGAAAGGAGCTTGCAAAGTGATCTCTCCCTTTGCCTTATCATTACTTTTCTTCTTCATCTTTTGCTCACGGGCCTCAAGAGAGCTTTGCAACTCCTCTTTACTCATCGTCGCGATCCTTCGATTCTCAATCGCTACAACCACGTTGTCAAATTTTGGCGTTAACAAACACACGATTTTCACGACAACATACAGCTTCGTGACTATTTCTCCACATCTCTTCATTTGATTCACTAATTGAGTGTTTCTTGTTGTGAAATCGTTGATCGTTTGCTTTTCTTTCATTTGAATCAATTCAAATTAACGCTTGTGAGTTTGTAACCTCACCACCTTTACCTTGTCAGCCCTTACGTATGCTTTCTCTAAGATTTTCCACGCCTACTTTGATGATTCACAACCACCAACTTTCTCAAAGTTGTCACCATCCACACACTAATGGATAAAAACAGCAACTTGAAATCATTCTTCTTCTCTTCCTTATGTTTTGCTCATTGTGCACTCATTGCACCTTCGACAAGAGGATTCACCTCGTTCTTGATCACTTCAAGAACATCTTGGTAGTCAAACAATAATTTCATTTGTTGTAATTCTTCGCATTAAGGATGGGTAAGTTTGTAGAAATTCTTTCATTGTAAGCAAAATTCATGTTGCACACTAGGTGTTTGTGGATCAGAACCAACCTCTTGATCCCAAATGTTAGAACATGAAACCACAAGATTGATGAATAATGGAGAAAATTAGAGTGTGGAGAGGAAGAAAGAAATTGAGAGGGAGATGATCGAGGGTGAGAATGTATTTTCATTCATTAACATTAATGAGGATGCCTCCAAGACATATATACAGAGTATTACAAGATGATTGAGATACATGTTACACAATCAAATAACAGAAAAACAGAATTCTCGAACTTGTAATTGGTTTCACTAAACTTGTAACTAGTTACAAAAATAAATTCATTCAGTGATAACCAGTTACAACCACGGTGGATTTTCTGTTTCTTCAACTCATAAGTAATTTTTGTCTGTTATAACCGATTATATCCCCATATTACTTGATTAGAGCACTTGAATTACCAAATTTCATGAGTTAGAAGATGTGTTGGTGGAACCTCTTTCATTGATAAAATTAAAGTTATCTTCTTGTTTTGAGGATATTTGTATTATAGTGAGTGAAATTAGGCTTCATTAATAATAATGAGTAAGTTGATTACACGCGGAAACCATTGGCTAACGAATATGTCACATAAAATCAAATAATAACAGAATTGTTTGTCGCAAGATTTTTTTTATTTTTTCCTTTATTTTAGTTGTTTGTTATTATCAGGTGAAAAGCTTCTAATATATATGGTATTTATCAGGATTTTTTAGACAATACAATCTCTTAATCGCGTAAATTAAGGAAATAAAGTGCAACATTCCGCAACAATTTCATTGATAAAATTAAAGTTATCTTCTTGTTTTGAGGATATCTGTATTATAGTGAGGGAAATTAGGCTTCATTAACAATAATGAGTAAGTTGATTACACGCGGAAACCATTGGCTAACGAATATGTCACATAAAATCAAATAATAACAGAATTGTTTGTCGCAAGATTTTTTTTATCTTTTCCTTTATTTTAGTTGTTTGTTATTATCAGGTGAAAAGCTTCTAATATATATGGTATTTATCAGGATTTTTTAGACAGTACAATCTCTTAATCGCGTAAATTAGGGAAATAAAGTGCAACATTCCGCAACAATTTCATTGAGCTACATATGGATGCAACATGCATAACCCACCAAAGAACAATAATTATTCCCATTGATTGAATCCTTTATAGACACAATTACAATTGTATATAGAAACATAAAAATGTATAATCAAACCAAATCACACTCCTCTATCTTCCAACTTCACTCTACAATTCTACAATCAACTCTTAAAAGAAAAAAAGAATGCATAAACAAGTACAAACCAGAAAACAAAGCTTCAATGTTGGAGCCGAACAGAACAAAATTCCAAAATTAATCAAAGAAAGAAGCAAGTAGACACAGCAAAAAGAGATCATGTGCTTCTTCTTGATAACCCTTCAACCAACATGTTGCTAATGAATCGAATCATAAATCATTCAATGTAGATAGAGTTTTCTCCTCTACCTGTTGTGTTTTATCATACTTTGAAACCCACCAAACTCTCACACTTTTATCAAGACTACCGCTATACAACAAAAATCCACCACCAGTTCTATTCGACAACAAAGCTTGCAAGCATTTCACAGGCCCTTCATGTCCTGTTAAAACCCCAACTTTACAAACTTTACCAAAACACTCTCTTTTCCAAATACCTATACTCTTATCTGCTGATCCTGTGCACAAAAACTCACCTATCAAACACATACACAAAACAGCCATTTCATGTGCCTTTCTCTCACAAACCATTTTCCAATTCTCACGGCCATTATTCCTTTCATACCCTATAACATAACCATCAGAACCACCTCCATAAACCCATTTTCCATCATCAGATATAACAACTGAATTAAATGAAACATCTTTATGACCCTCTAAAACACCTTTCAAACAATGCAAACTTTCCCCCTCTTTTCCCCATGCCTTGATTTTCCCATCTGCAGAAGCAGAATAAACAACCCCTTTACATGCTACCAACCCATTGATAGCATCGTCATGAGCTTTAATTGACTCCAAACACTTCAAATCAGAAACACCCCACACTTTAAGTGTCTTATCCCATGACCCTGAATAAATCAACCCATTATGAACAACCAAACAAGAAATGCTGTCTGCATGTTCAATCCACAACCTCTTGTGATTCCTCCTAGTCTGAACATAATTATTCTGTTTCATAAACTTCCCCAAATAATCCTTTGTTGTTGGAAGTGTATCAACGAGCTTAAACACATTCTCTGAACTCCTTGACACCTTCCAGACTCGAATCCTGCTATCTTGATGAGCAGTGAAAACCTTGTTACCAACGGTGGCAAGCGCTTTCACAGATCCATCTCCTTGTCCGAACTTGGCAAACAACCTTAAATCTGGTTGTTGCCATACTATGATGTCTTTTCCCTGGGAAGCACTCAATACGAACTCACCACACAAGGCTAAACACGAAACAGAGCCAACGTGTCCTGAAAGAATAGCCAATGATCGATAAGAAAATGATGTGAATGGTGGTAGGTTGCCGTTGAGATGTGGTAGGTCTAATACGTTATAGCTATCATTGGCCTCAGTGGTGCTAAAGCTACTGGCGTTGCTCCTAGAACTTGATGACGGAGTTGAAAGGTTGGATTTCGATACAAGGTTATTCATTGGATTTTGTTGGGGGAATATAAGAGAAAATAGATTGGGTTGAGGGAGAAGAGGAGCGGTGGTGGAAAGAGAAAATTAAGAGAGATTCCTTGATGAAGAGGAAAGGTTAATAATAATAATAATAGAAAAAGGGGTGAAGTACAACGGCTATCTTGACTTTATAGAGAGATGTTGCAATTTGTGTGTCTTTGTTAAGGACCAATGTCCCTTTTCTAGTGTTCATTGCTTCTTTCAGCTGTTGAGCATTTTAACTCTATGTATTTTTTATTCCACCAATTATCAACTACCACCTGCTCAAAAACAATGAAAAATTAGTCAAAGTATTTTATAGAAAATATTAATAAATATATTTATACTTAGAAAAAAGTTTATATTTGAAAATAATATTTTTTGTTAAATGAGTATATTTACAACTATGACACAATTCTTTAAATAAATAAAAAAGAGACCAAGTTTGATTTTTATTGAAAATAGTTGGTAATTTAATAAATAAAAAGGAAGATATTAGTGACATCCCTAAATCACTCCTTTGGGTACTCTCTCTAAATGTGTTAGGGACATGCAACTACATTTACCTCTTGTTTGATGTTTGGCAAGCTTTCACTTGAAATTGAGTCGACTTTGAATAAAAAGAAAAAACGCTTCTGATCCCCCCTCAAACATTGCACACAAACAACAACATAAAAGACATAAAATAATTCTAGACTCACTTTACAATTTATATCCCTTTGATAACATGGTAAGGAGATAGATCAAAGTGTGCCTAAATTTAAATAACCAATCATAAACAAATAAACTCAAATGAACAAATGAGCTAAACAACTAAGAAGAATATACAACAGTAAAGGTCGGTTATAGAACACGAAGATAGACATACTATATGCAACAAAATGCAATAGACATGCAACACCAACATTCAACAACAAACAATTAAGTGATCAAAACTTATTTATAATGGAATGCATTATCAATCATAAATAATACATGAATAATTAAACAAATGCTCAGATGCACATATTTAGCAATACACATTTAAAAAGACTTAAATGCAAAGAATAACAATCAAAGACATATGATAGAGATGAATGAGTAAAGTAAGGAGGATAATAAGCAAACCAATGCACAACTCTAGAACAAACATATACAATAATATATAGCCAAATACAAGAGTTATAGAAACATACCAATGTAGTTGGTAAAAGCTATTATTTGCTACAAAATAGTGTCAGTGAAAACAATATATATATATATATATATATATATATATATATATATATATATATATATATATATATATATATATATATATATATATATATATATATATATATATATATATATATATATATATATATATATATATATATATATATATATATATATATAATGAAACTAAACAAAAATTCTTATTCTATTTAAAGCACGAAGAGTCTAAGACTCATAAATCTCTACAAATCATGTGAAAGGGATCCGATGGTAATGGTTTTGCAAAAATGTCAACAGTCTATTTTTTTAGTGTCAACGTATTCAAAAATGACACCCCCCTTTTCCCAAATGATCTCTAAGAAAATGGTATCGAATCTCAATGTGTTTGGTCCGTGAATGAAATACTGGATTCTTAGTGAGGCTTATAGCACTAGTAGTATCGCATTTAATCAAAATGCAACCATGTTTTGAATCATAATATAGTAATTATTGCTTTAGTAATAAGACTTGTGCTCAAGAACTACCAGCGACTACATATTTCGCCTCTGTGGTAGAATGAGAAACATTATGTGTTAGAAGATTTAGTTCTGCAAGATATCTCTAAGTTTTGATAATAACAAAGTAGTATTTGTGTGAGAACAATTTTGGTACTCTAATATTTGTTTTTCTGAAGAGTTAACAAACAAGTTCTAACTCTGATAGAGAAAGCTCTGACTCTAATAGAGACCATGTGCAACGTCACTCTGATTCGACCAAAGTCGCTTCTGTGCCATAAAAGCACGTATGCTTATGATCTACTCACATTCAGAAAGATTCTAAGAAGACAATATGTTGTTGTTGTAATGCTCTCTTGGATTCTGGTTCTGAGCGTGACTCTGATGTCTTACATCTGAAGGCTGTCTAGCTTCTGAAGTCATTATCTTCTGAAGACTATGTGTTGAAGACTTTGAAGATAAAGTTCTACGAACAAAGTTCTGAAGACTCTGAAGACTTGAGTTTCTGATGATTAAGTGTTGAAGACTTTGAAGACAAAGTTCTGCTGAACAAAGTTCTGAAGACTCTGAAGACTTGAGTTTCTGAAGATTAATTGTTGAAGACTTTGAAGATAAAGTTATGCTAAACAACGTTTTGAAGACTCTGAAGACTTAAGTTACTAAAGACCAAGGATTCTAAAGACTGGGTGTTTAAGACTCTGGAGACAAGGTTCTGGTGAACAATTTTTGAAGACTCAAGACTCTGAAGAGCCAATGATCAACTCTTCTACTCATGCTTCAATCATCTCTATTCAGAAGCCTCTGATGTACAGAAGATAAGATCAAACGTTTACAAGGGAAATAATATATAGTACATATCAAACACGTTCTATTCCACTACCATTCCACTACCCTAATTTGGTGGTACAAAGAACAACTTTTGTATACGATTTTCATCCCTGCGTAACGACATTATTTTAAGTCACCAGCTATCTAAAGGATATGCCTGATCTTCCCTCCAACGTATCTTTTTTGGCTATATAAGGACTTGATTACTTGAAGAAAACAAGGAGAATGAATGACAAAAAGTAAACGGACTATGAAGAACTGGAGCAACAGTATTGAAGCACCACAATACAAAGAAAGAACATTGTTCATATTGTATAAGTTTTTATTTAAGTCATTTGAGCTATTAATAGTGTTTATATTTGCTTGTGTAGAAGCAATTTATTGTAAACATTTTTGTTCAAACATTTTTTTGTGATTCCTTAAGGGACCAGTTAGGTCAAAATCCTTAAGAAGAGACATTTAGTCTTTTGGTTGTTAGTCACCAGCAATGGCTAGTGCAGTGTAGTCAGTTGATTATAGTGGATTAAGTCCTTGTGTATAAGGTGAAATCACCTTGGTGGGTGGACTGGATTAGCTTGATAGTTTTCAAGTGAACCAGGATATATCATGTGTCTTTCTCTCTTATTAGTTTATTTGTGATCTTTGTTTGAGTTTCACAAAAAGCTTTCATTTTGAAAACTCAATTCAAACCCTCATTTTGTTGTGTTTTCTCACACCTTTACTATGTTGGTTCTTACTATGCCAAGATACTAAATAGCTTCTAAATAAGTGACAAGTGCCACTAGTGTTTTTCCTATCCGACTTGCAACCCGTGAAATTAGAATCAGAAAAACCTACTGAGCTATAAGCACTACCTTTTGGATACTAAGGACTATGAAGGGAGGTTCCGTTAAGATACCGCAAAATACATTTTACAATCTTAAAGCGGGATTCCTTAGGTGATGCTTGATATCTAGTACACATGCACACACTAAACATGATATTTGGCCTACTCGCAGTTAAATAGAGTAAGGATATGATTATACCTTGATACCTAGTGATGTCAAAATTCACTCCTCTTTCATCTTTGTCAATAAGCACGTTTGAGGCCATGGGTGTTGAGATACTCCTTGAATATTTCATATCAAACTTCTTAAAAAGCTCTAAGAAGTATTTTGTTTGACTTATGAAAGTGGATTATTTGGCTTGCTTCATTTTCATTCCTAAGAAATATGCCAACTCTCCCTTAAAAGACATCTCAAGTTCTTCCTTCATCAAACTTGCAAATTATCAACAAAGAGATTCATCAGTAGACCCGAAAATAATATCATCTACATAAATTTGAACTAAGATAATATGATTTTCCTTATGTTTTATAAACAAAGTGGTAACCATTCCCCACGATTGAATCCCCGTTTGATAAAAAATTCACTCAATTGCTCATATCAAGCTCTTGGATCTTGTTTGAGATCATAGAGGGCTCTTTTAAATTTAAAACATGATTAGGATTATTGTGATCCTCAAAACTTGGGGGTTGTGAGACATACACCTCTTCATTTATACAACCATTAAGAAAATAAAATTTAACATCCATTTGGTAAACACACTCAGAAGTGAAGTGAATGAGTTGAAAGGTAAAAAGGAATAAATGACAAAATCCATAAGGATGCTTAATTCTAGAACTGACACCCTAGAGGAAATCCTTCAGATTGGTCAGACCTCAAGAGATAGGTCTGGACTAGGATTTGTTGAGAGACAAAATCCTGTGTTGAAACTCAAGAGATTACAACATGAGATTCAAAAGTTAAACAGGATGTCACGACCAATATCACAACATCCACCCCACAAAAACTGGAAGCAAGTCAAGAGACAATTCCAAAGGCATAGGTGTTACCACTGTGGAAAACTTGGACATATTAAAGCTGCGTGCTTCTGGCTGCATGGATTTCCAAGTCAACGAAAAGCCAAACAAGGTACACATGGCAAAAGGAAGTCATGTGCCAAACCCAAGAAGGAGGTGCCTTACAAGCAAAGAAATTGGGTGGCCAAGGAGGTTGGTCTTATAGCACACACATCTCTAAGAGTGTCAGCAAAAGAAGACTGGTACTTTGACAGTGGCTGCTCCAAGCATATGACTGGCATTAAGAATCTGTTGGTAGACATCAAGCCACATTCCTCGAGTTATGTGACCTTTAGTGATGGGGCAAAAGGGGAAATCAAAGGTGTTGGAAAACTAGAGAGTCATGGAGTTCCTAACCTAACCAATGTGTTGCTGGTAAAAGGACTAACTGCCAACTTGATCAGTATCAGTCAGCTATGTGATCAAGGACTAAATGTGAAGTTCTCTAAAGGATAATGTGTGGTCACAAATGGTGAAAATGAAGAAGTGATGAAGGGGCTGAGATCCAAAGACAACTATTATTTATGGGAGCCAAAAGACATTAGTAAATCCACAATGTGCTCTGTGGCAAGAGAAGAACAGGAAGTAAAATT